CGCTCCCCCGCTCCCGCACCCCGTTTCCCCCACGCCCCGCGGCCTCTCTTGCGCCTCGGCTCCAGGGGGCCGGTGTGCGCAGCCGCCGCTCTGCTCCCCGCCCGCCGAGGCCCCGCGAGCCCCGGCAGCCCCGCCGAGCATCCAGTCCCCTTCCTCCTCACTCACCCGCTTGAAACAGCGTTTCCCGCCACTACCTACACCGCCGTGACCCCTGAACCCTGCGCACGCAGGCTCAGAGCGGCCGCGCGCCTGTTGGGCCACGCCCCTCCTGCTACACCGCCAAGGGAGCCGCCCCCTAATGGCGGGACTAAGCCACGCCCCTCCTCCCAACTTGGACTGCGTTACCCCCCCCCGGAAACCGGGCCCGCCGAAGCCACGCCCCTCCCTCCAATTCGGGACATAGCCCCATCCCGTTTCCCCAGGATGGCCTCCTGGCCACGCCCCTTAAAGCTACCCAAAGCCCCGCCCCAGGGGCCAAGCGCCTTCTCTGGTCCCGCCCCTCAAGACGCAGGCACCCCGAGGCCACGCCCCTCTCATCTACGGGCCCGCGTTCTGCGCCTCCTGGCGGCGGTGTCCGGGAACTTCAGTCTTTCGAAGCGCTCCCGAGCGCCGATCCCGGTTTCCTAGTTGTACACCGTATTCTGTGGGGTGGGAGCGTTTGTGGAACGTCCCGCCCGCACCCCAGTTGCCACAACTCCCTTTGGAGCCTGCACTTCCTGGCTTGTCTATGGCACACTCAGCATGATGCGCGGATCCACATCGAAACCCTGCCACTGGGTCCTGTCTCAGATATGAGAGACGCATGATGGCACCTGTGTCCCTGTATCCGCACGGCCTCGCCCACCTCCGGATGTAGGACCGCACCTGTAGCAGCACAACCTCGCCCACAGCCGATGCAGGAAGGAACCTGTGTCCCACCTGTGCACGACAGCCCCGCCTTGGCCAGCGGTGCACCCTGGGCCCCGGCACCCCAGTTCACCCGGCCCCCGGAGGCACACCCTTCACGTCTCAGGCAGAGTTCAGGGCTGGCTTGCATTGGATTTTATTTCCTTGTTTTTTATTAAATAAAACGAACAGAGGAGGGGCCTGTGGTCTCCCAGGTGCGGGAGCCAGCAGCCCTCCCTCTGTCTGCAAGGTGCGTGGCGTGGGGGACTGAGGTGTAGGCTGGGCGGGAGCGCAGCTGGGAAGGTCGGAGGACCGAGGCCTCACCCCTCCTGGAAGACTGTGGGAGGGGGTGCCTGCCGGCCAACTGCCGCGGGTCCTGAGGCTGGATTGGCGGGAGCACTGTGACCACGTCCTCCCACCCCAGGAGGGGGGTGGAAGGTCCATCCAGAGGGCGCGGGGGCTGGGCGCGCCGCCCTTACTCATGCACGTCCCAGATCTCCGACAGCAGGGGCGGCAGCTTCTTGTCCTGCAGACGCAGGGCGAAGACCTGCTCCGAGTGCACGGAGCTGAGCGTGCGAAGGCTCACCAGCTTCATGAGCATGCGCGGGAAGCGGAGCTGGTCCTGCGGGGAGAAGTGGGTGGGTGTTGCCGGGCTGCCCAGTGAAACCTAGAGCAGGGTGGGGGGTGCTGCCTGCGGCCCCACCCGGGGCTATGTAGGCCTGGTTCACAGGGGAGGGAGACCCCACATTCCCCCGGCCAGGGGTACCTGTGGCCTCTTGATGCGGGTGTAGGACAGCAGCGCCTCCACGTAGGGCTGCTGCAGCGCCTCCACGCGGCTGGGCTCCTGCACGTTGGGCCGGTCCGCAGAGAAGATGTTGATAGCAATGAGCAGCGCATACTCCGCGTCGTCCAGGCCCAGCCGCCGCATGGCCCTCGAGAATTCGAAGATGGGGTTGATGAACTCCACTTGCAGACCTGCAGAAAGAGCTGCCTCACACCCCCGCCCTGAGGTCCTGGGCACTGCAGAACAGCAGGGTGACAGTCGGCCCTGCCTCCTGCATCTGAGGGCCTGGCATGCAGCAGGTGGCCAGGGAGATGGCATCATGGGAGATGGCAACCCTCCCCTCCCCTCCTCTGGGCCCTGCCCTGCCCTATAGTAGGCGGCAGTGCCTCCTGAGTCCTGGAAGAGCCTTTTCTGGGGAAGGGAAAGGAAGGTCAAGCTAGGTCATACTGCCAGGGGGAGAGGGCAGGGGCTGAGGTAGAAGACAAACAGGGTACAAACGGGGGTATGGACGGGAGTCAGGACTGTACTCTTCCCCCGGGGACCTGGCACTTCGAGGGCAGGTGCTCTTTCCTGATCCAGCCTGGGACAACAAGACAGCCTCTCGCTATCAATAAACATGGTTCTAGCTCACCCTCAGCCCAAATGGAGGCTCAACGGAGCACAGATGCCAGCAGGTGACCCCACCCCACCCCACCTGCTCGGTGGAAGTCGTCCTTGCTGTAGGTGAAGTCCTTCAGGAACGTGATACATTCTGTCTCATGGTTGTAGCGCCTGGCCGTCTCTAGCAACATGATCTGGGGTGACAGGGGTGCAAGGATCTTCAGCGGCCCCAGAGTCAGATTGACTAAGACCAACTGCCACCCCCCTGCCAGACCGGCATAGATGACAGGCAGCAACTCCACTGTTTTATGCCTCAGCCAATATCCTTTCTCTCCCAGGCTCACAGGAGACTCAAGTTACTTTGTTAGGACTGGGACACTTCCACGTGAACCGCATCCCACAGGGTCAGGACCCGGTTTGCTGTGCACCCTACTGGGGGCTGCCTCCGGCCTGGCCATTACCTCGATCGTGGATGCCTTCAGGAGGGCGATCTGGTCCTCCCGGCCCAGCTGCAGGAAGCCAGGCACCTGCTTGGCGAAATCCACAATCTCCTGGACCGAGATGATGGCCAGCTCTGTGAAGTGGGCGAAGCGCTGCTGCCGAGCGTCCCGGGACTGGGGGTCAGCACCCAGGGGCCAGGGCTGGGGCACAAGAGTCCAAGGTCACCCTGGGACCCCTGACCCTGGAGAGCCCTCCCTAGCACCCTGAGCCACGCCTATTGCGCTGGCAGGGCCGTGCGGTAGCGGGGCAGTACCGTGACTTTGGGCTGGTCCGAGAAGGACCGCTTGTTGCATTGCAGCTGCGCAGCCACCAACTGCTGGATCATCAGCTCCTGTGCTGCCGTCAACTGGATGCCCTCGCCTTCCCCGGAGCCCTGGCCACTGGCCTCTGACGCTGCAGGGGAAGCTCCCAGCCCTGCAGCTGAGCCGCTGGCTTCCCCAGGTTCCCCGGGGGGCTGTGCGGGTGGTGGCTGTTGCTGTTGCTGCTGCCTCTGAATCTTCTTCTTCCGAATCTGTTCCTCAGACAGCACGCCTGTGCAGGATCCGCCATCCAGGCCGCAGTAAAGGGCAGTCCAGCAGGACGCCCCTCCCTGGCTGTCCCTCCTTCCCCAGGCTGGCCCCTCCCTCCTTCCTCAAGCTGGCCCTCCCCTCCTTCCCCAGGCTGGCCCCTCCCTCCTTCCTCAGGCTGGCCCTGCCCTCCTTCCCTAGGCTGGCCCCTCCCTCCTTCCCCAGGCTGGCCTGCCCTCTCACACTCACACTGCTCCCGCATCCCCGCCTCCTTGCACTTGCGCAGCCTACACAGTTGGCACTTGCGCCGCATGAAGGCGTCCATTTGGCAGGTTCCGCTGCCCCGGCAAGCATAGCGCCCGGCCCCGCCGTGGACCACGCTGCGCCGGAAGAAGCCCTTGCAGCCTTCGCAGCTGAGCACGTTGTAGTGGAAGCCTGAGGCCTTGTCACCGCACACGCGGCACAGTTCGTGGCCCAGCATCTTTGGGGCCGGGCCTTTCTTCCGCTTGCGCTCGGGCTCATCCTCCGGCTCTAAGATGACTGCGGTGGGCAACAGAGGTCCTGAGGGACAGCCACAAACGGTGGGCACAGGGAGGTCCGAGGCAGGAGGACAGGCAGGTCCAAGGTGTGGTGGGAGGACGGGGAGGTCCAAGGGGGTGTGGGAGGTCAGGGAGGTCCAAGAGGGTGTGGGAGGTCAGGGAGGTCCAAGGCGGGGTAGGTGGTCAGGTGCACACCCATGCAATGCAGAGGTGAGACTTGCAAGTCAGGGGGCACCAGAGAATCAGTCAGAGTGAAGGGGAAATGGACAGAAAAAAACAAAAGACAGCAGCCTCCACCTCCGTCCCCTCCTCCATCCCACCCTGTCTCACCCACGATGTAGGCAGAGTCGGTGCTTGGGGCGGCATCAGTCTCCTGCCCCTCCTCCTTGATGGTGGATGAGGAGGAGGAGGAGGTGCTGGGCTGAGGAGAGCCATTTCCTAGCAGAGGGAAAGAAGGGTACAGTGAACGGCTCACAGTGTGGGATGGGACCCCATGGGGAAAGAAGGTCACTCACCAGGCACTGGGGTGTCCTGGGAACTTGTGGGGGAAGACATGGTGGGGTCACGAAGCAGCCTGCAGAACACAAAGGGGCTGAGAGCCTTGGGAGACCCGGGAGGAGTGAGCCAGGGTGTTGCAGGTCACTTTAAGGGGTGCGCTGCCTTCCATGATCCCACTGATTGTTTTGAGCTGGTCTCAGCAGCTCAGGCTCACCTGGAACTCCGTCCAGAGCTTTGATCCTGAGTCTACCTTCCAAATGTCCAGAATATAGACACGCATGACTCTAGCATTTTCCCTTTTTTGAGACAGGGTCTCACTCTGTAACTTACACAGGCCTGAACCTATGTACCCCGCACTGTCCACCAAGGTGAGGCAGTCCTCCTATCTCAGCCGCTCAAGAGCTGGGACTACACCTCACTAAGCCATTTTGAAGTCTTAAGAGACCTCACTACCAGTCCCACTTTAGAAACGTCACACCCGTCCTAACACTGCCAGCCCATTCCTGATCCAGCTCTGCCCTCCAGACCCCACCAACCTGTCTCCAAGTACCCTTCTCCAACCAGGACCCTACTCCACGCCCCACCCCCATCTTTCCCTTTGAGAACCTGCCCTAACACCATAGGTTGCTTCAAGGTTTGCCCCACCCTGTCACATGCCCCAGACCCTGCTCCCACATTTCCTCCCCATAGCCACCCAGTCCCAGTCCCCTTCCTACTCTCAACCGACTGGGCCTTGCCCCACCCTCTCTGTGCACCTGCTTCCCAGCCGACCTTTTCGACGGCCCTGCCCCTTCCATCGCCCCACCCTCCCATCAACCTCGCCTTCCTACCAGCCCACCCTTCCATTAGCCCCGCCCTCCCACGAGCTCAACCCTCCGTCAGCCCCGCCCCCCACGAGCCCAACCATCAGCCCTGCCCTCCTACCAGTGTGTAGGTTACCAGAACCTTCCATCAACCCACCCTTCCATCAGCCCCACCCCACCCCACTCCAGCCCCACCCTTCTACCATAGGCTTCCCTACAATGCCCCACCTCATCTGTGGCCCAGGCCTCCAAGCCATGCTCCAGACACATGCTCCAGCCCCGCCCACCTAGCATCGCCAGGCCCCGCCCTCGCGCGGCCCCACCCCTTGCCCTATCATAGGCTCCCCTATGTCTTTCTCCACCTTTATGCACCCCTGCCTTAAACCGATCCTTGCCACCTGATGGTCGAAGCCCCTCCCATCACATGCCCAGACCGGCCCACCTAACTTCACCAGACCCCGCCCCCTTGCCCTATTATAGGCTCTGGTACGCCATTCCCCACCTCATCTACACCAACTCCAAGCCCCGCCCACCTAACCCCCAGGCTCTACCCTTGCGCGACCCCGTCCACCTTGAGCCAGGCCCCACCCCTTGCCCTGTCACAGGATTCCCTATGCCCTGTGTACCTCACCTACACCCCTGCCTCCAAGACAGCCCCGCCCCTCATGTTTAAAGCCCCTCCCATCACATGCTCCAGACCTGCCCACCTAACTTCACCAGGCCCCGCGCACCTCGATCCAGACCCGCCCCTCATCTCTAAGTCCCACCCCTTGCCCTACTATAGGCTCCACTACATCTTACCCACCTCATCGGCACCAACTCCAAACCCCGCCCACCAGACGCTCAAGCCCCGCCCACCCAGCCTCACCAAACTCCACCCTTGCGCTACCACGCCCAAACTGAACCGGGCCCCGCCCATCTCACACACAAGACCCAC